AGAAAAACGGCACAGAAATACAAGCCCAGACCATCCAACCCTTTTTCTTCCCATTGAATCTCACCCATTATTTCCAACTCTCTGTCACATACATTGTTCCCAGAATCCTTGGTTGAATACTGCAAAGAAATCTAAATCAGCCTTTGGGAAACACTGAGAAAAGTGAATCATTATACTACTTTATCATTTTCTGGGCTGGGGAGCAGACTGTGATTTATTCTTACCATTCTGCACAAGAGGTTATTTGAAAACTAAAGATTTTCCTTTTCTCCTCTTTCTAAAGAGATTTAAGTACTTGAGCATAAATGCATGATTGGACATACTTGATTGACTCTAGTTTAGGTCATGTTTAGTTTGTTTTTTTTTTTAAGTTTAGTATTTAAAATGTTACCTTTCAGTTGGGCACAGTGTGCATGCCTGTAATACCAGCAGCTCAGGAGGCTGAGGCAGGAGGATCATGAGTTCAAAATCAGCCTCAGCAAAAGCGAGGTGCTAAGCAAACTCAGTGAGAGCCTGTCTCTAAATAAAATACAAAATAGGGTTGGGGATGTGACTTAGTGGTTGAGTGCCTTTGAGTTTAATCCCCAGTACAAAAAAAAAAAAAAAGATGTTGCCTTTCAGCTTGCAATAATAAATGACGACTAGCTAAAAGTATTGTAATCAAAATCTAAACTTTAGCAATACAAAAGAAATGAACAGCATGTGCAAGTGAGCCAGACAGTTCAAGTCACTGTTGCCTGCTGCCAGTCTGGCATTGGGATGTTCCCAAATTTCTACACACCTCCATTTCTTTGCTCAACGGGGAAAAAACATGATTTGCGTATTTTCATTTTTATGAGCATTGAATAAATTAATAACTATAAAGCCTTTAAAAGTGCTTTCACAAAGATTATTGTTCTTTCATTCATTCATTGGTTTCTTTCAATAAATATTTACTGAGTGCCTCATTGATGTAAAGTGTGAGTGTGAGGATGTGGTCCTGAGGAAAAAAAGATGAAGGACTGTTTATAATTATCATTACTGAATCACTTTGAATGTCTCCTGTGAACTGTGTCACTGCTAACTTAGGTACATGGTCTGTGTGGCCTTATTGCCTGTGACTTGGCAAAGATCTTAGCACGAAATAACTGCTTAATAAATGTTGCTAGAATGTACGTGAGTCCGTTAGTGTAGGATAACAAGCTCTAGATTTGGAATTGGACTATGTCCGGTCACTCCTACTTTCTACCTTAGGGTATAGTATTACCTTGAAAAACTTAGTGAAACCTTCCTAGTGAAAAATCAAGAAAGCCGTACTATAAAACTGCCAAGTTCCCTTCTGGCTATGATTCTGTAAAGTCATTGAGAAGATATTTTATTTGTTTGACTAGTTTTACTTCTATTTTTCTTAAGTTTAATAAACTTTAATTTTATAATAGTCTTAGTTTTATTTAAAAAAAAAGTGCAAGAATATGAGAGTTCCCACACACCCTGTACCTCATTTCCTTCCTAGTTAACATTTCTCATTACTGCAGTATATTCATAACAACTAAGGAACCAATACTGATATTATTATTAACTAAAGCTCTCATACTTTACTATGATTTTTTTTTTTTAAGAAAAAGGTACTGGGAATTGAAAACAAGGTCACTTTACCACTGAGTGATAACCTTTGTCCTTTTTATTTTTTTGAAACGAGTTCTCACTAACTTGCTGAAGGTCTTATTCACTTGCTGAGACTGGACTTGAACTTGTCCTGCCTCAGTCTCCCCAAATGCTTGGATTATACGTTTAGAAGGATCCCATTACTAAAAGATCCCATTACCACACCCAACACCCATCTTCACATTTCTTAAGTTTTTGCCAAATGTCCTTTTCTCTTTTTTACCCCAAGATCCAATTCCATTTTACATTTAGTAGTCCTGTCTTCTTAGCCCCCCTATGTAGTGACAGTTTCTTAAACTCCTTGTTTTGATGAGTTTGATATCTTTGAGGAACATTGGTCAGGAATGTGGTAGAGTATATTGCAATTTTGGTTCATTTTTTATTTTCCTCATAGCTACACGGGGGTTATAGATTTGGGGGAGGCGGAACACAGAGGTAATTCTCATCACATTATATGTTGTTAACATGATCATCCATTCAAGACTATTTTAATGAGTACATATCATTAGTGTATATGTATTTGGTAATTTGGTTCCCATATTAAGGAAAATCCGTTTGCTATATTATTATTTTGTATGCAAAGTATAGAGTAGGTGATTCTCTTTGAATAATGTATAATCTTAAACTATATTTACCTTAATTTCTTTTCTTTTAAAAGTCCCCTTTATTACAGATATAACAAAGGTGATTGAAAAATCAATGTCTTGTTATAAATTATTAACAATCCTACCTTTATGGAATCAATGTCTATATATTAAATTTAAAATGAAAAATGTGGTTTTTGTGTTTCTTTTTCAAAGGCACTGCAAGCTTAGAAAATAATATATCTGTGCTTAGCTACGTGGTCAAAAGTGTGCCACAAAATAGAAATATGGGAAATGAAGCATTTTGCTGTTAATTCCCCTAAGCCTGTCTCAAGCAAGGAACTTGCCAAAGCAATGTTAATACTTCACTAAGCCCTAACCATAGAGAATCTAGTGCTTCTAATCTTATAGTGTCTTTTAAATGTGCCTTATCCTCTGGGGTCAGCGGAAATACTGATGCAGCTGTCACAGGGATTGGAGGATGCGCGGCTTTGTTTTTTCTGTACTTTTTTTTTTTAACACATTTTACCGTAAATAAGAAAGTTGCCTTCAGATGAATAGGATCTATTTTATGTGCCATTTCAGATTGAGACATTAAATAAATATGTCAGTTTAGACAAAAAGTTATTTAGAAGGATCCCATTACTAAAGAAATTTTTAGCATCTTTAATTTAAATGAAATAAATACCCACCACATCCCACTCTTTCTTCAGTATGTAACCAGACTTTAAATATAATAGCTACATTTATGTTCAGTCAGAACATTTATTATCAGAGTATTTTTTTACCCCCGCCCCAAACCCTGATTTCCTTATTCCATGAAACAGTATTCCCTGACTTAATATATTCTACTTGTGTGACCTTGGAAATCATCCTTAATTTCTAGAATTTTCTGATTTTCATAGCTTTATGTGAAGGTTAAATGAAATTATTTTCTAGGTATATAAATTTTTTTTTTAAATATATAGAGCACTTAGCAAATTGGTCACTAGTGAGTTATTCAAAGACACATACACAAATGCTTTCAAACCATAATTTCTGATTTATTGAAGGGCAATAAATAGCTATAGGAGCATGTTAGCATTGTGTTTTATACCATCTCTAGGTTGTCAAAGATATGTTCAGGTTGTTCTCTGATATTTTAATCATGTGACCTTAGCAGGAAAATAAAAACTAATCAGAAAGTGGATCTCTCAACATTCAAGGGAATGGAAGTGTTCTAACAGCAAAAACTGATGGTAGAGTAATTTTATTATTTTTTTTATCCATGGTGCACCAATTTGCAGTGTGACATATTTTAAAACAGAACTTATGAATATTATCCATTATACTGGGAAACAATCTTAGCTGTTAAATAAGTGATTAAAAGTGTGTGACGTGTCAGGCTAGGGAAACAAGATCCAGATGAATATTACTATAGAAGTGTCCTTAACAAGGGCTGATTTTTCATCGCATTGGATAGTGTTTCTGATGCCATATTTAGGAAAGTAGCAATAAACAACGTCAGCTTTTATTCCCACCTCTACACGTGGATCTAGTGGATGTCCAAGTTAAAAGGCATGTTGAATGGCACTCAGCTCATGATGATTGAGCTAATAAAAAGTAAATACTTGGGTAGGTAACAAACCATTACCTGCAGACCACTGTCCCTTGTACACACTGCCCAATCATGAACTTTTCAGTATGGTATTAAAGAGTGACCATAGAAGCATGTGAAATGATATATGGAATGGCAGCTCTGAAAGCAGCTGTAGCCACAGAGGCCGCCTGGGAATATAGAATGAAGTAGGTACAAGAATAGATAGAATATGAGTATAGTGCTCACTTGCAGATCATTCCTGGACATGGCAAGCATTGCTAATATCATGGTGATTGGCATATTTGGGAGGAGAGCTATGTATACCCCAGTGAAGTTAGGACGAGGTAATTTTGCTTTGAAGGTTGATCTCTCCAGATTTAGTATCAGACATTGGAGCCAAAAGGGTTCTTGGGTTACAGTGCATCCACACGTTCATGATCATCACACTCTTAAAATGATGTGACTAATGCATGCTGTGACTAGTCTGTGAATTCCTCATCAAGAGTGGCTACTGATGTTTGAATATTTGTGTCACAAACTTCTGCCCACAGAAGTCTGATACAGAGCATGCATTTAGTAAACACGATGGAATAGAATTTCTCTTATTTTGGTATCAATGTTATTGTACTCTGTGTTGAATTATTAACTCTTTGTAAACAGAGCAATGGCTTTTCTGAACTGATAATCTAGACAAAGCAATTATGACATCAGGGTTCCATATTTATTTTTCCTAAAAACCAAGGAAATACAGAAGGGAAATAGTCAAGTAGTAAGGAAAAAAATAGAAAAATATTTATAAAAGCATTTACTCTCTATTTTAGTTCTTAAAAAAGTCATCTATGTATAAATGCATGTGTACAAAGTACAATAGTATAAATATTATGTTCAGATAATATGGCAAGAGAAATTTGTGGGCTTTTTTTTTTAAATCCCATAGAGTATTTTTAAAAATTGTGTGAATATTTTTAAATCTCTGTTATTTTGTAGACTCATCTGAATGTTTTATTTCAATATACGAAATTAAGTGTGGTCATCAATGCATATTTCCTCATGAGATGATTGATACATAGTTGACAAGCAGCAATTGCTAGCTGCTGTTGTGGTTATTAGCAGAATGTAATATTAGTGATATGTTTCCAAATAGGGAAAGACGATACTACTCTCACCCCCTTCCTATGGTATTTTGAATGCAGACAGTACTGCAGGGACACCAGCAATATCAACGTCGACAAGTGTGGAAATCCGCAAAAGCAGTGTTATGACACCTGAGATCACCTCTAAAGTGGAGAAGAGCCCCATGACAGCCACTGGCAACAGCTCGTGTCCTACTACGGAGACTGAGGAAGAAAAGGCAAAACGGCTTCTTTACTGTTCCCTATGCAAGGTCGCTGTCAACTCCGCCTCACAGCTGGAGGCGCACAACAGTGGTGAGATGCAGCCATTTCTTTTCTGTCTCAACAGCTCTGCAATTATCTTCCTCTGAATAGATTAGATCTTTTGCAGCAGGGGACAAAGGGGTGGCAGAAAACTGGCAATTATTACATGGTATTCATTAACCATTAAAAAATAAAAATGGCAAGCAAAATGTCATTTGTATAGGTGCAAAGGAGGGTTTATAGGGCTTGCAGGCCCGTGTGGGGTATGTGAGTGTGTGTGAGTGTGTGTGTGTGTGTGTGTTTTATTAAACATAAGGAGATAAAACGTAATTCTAAAATATGTTCTGCATTTATATGATTACTTATGCACTTGCATGCATTTGCTTCTAAAATGAAATTTTCTAAAACCATACCTATGCTATGATTGCAAAATGTGGTTCTACAATTCCATTTACTTTTGGCTAAAACCCCTCTATTAATGATTTTTATGGCAAATCGTGCTATTTGGGTTACATCTATGTGATTTTGACAATTAAACTTAAGAAAACATTTATTATGTGCAGCCTCTGAGATATGATCTTTACTCTTCCCACAACTGAAACATATTATTCTTTCCATTTGAGGTTCAGAGAAGGAAAAGCATGTGGCCAATTAAGTGACAGGACTATGATTCAAACCCAAGTCCCTCTTCCTTGAATATAACACTTTAAAGCAGAAAAGGAAAATACTGGAACACTGACAAGTTACGACAAAAATGCTCTCTGGATCTATTTTGGTTCCATCCAGCTGCTGTGTGTGTGTGTGTGTGTGTGTGTGTAATGTATATATCCCCTTCTCTCTCTCTCTTTCTGTGTATGTGTGTACACACAAATATCAGCTTTTCTCTAAAAACTGGGTTGATTGCCAAGATCAACGTTTCTCTGAAAGACTGGGTGCATTGCCAGGATTCTGTCAGCAACTATAAAAGAAGTAGAATCATTTGTGAATCATGCCCTGAGTTAATATTGCAGCTGTATGTTGAGTCACTGACCAAACTGTTGTGCTGCAGGGTCATATTCAAGTATTGACTTCAGGACTCTAAGGAGTAATTGCAGATGGAGAACAATGACTCCAGCACACATCCTCCTTCTGCATACATTAACTGCAGTCAGGGAAAGTTCATGAGTTCAGGAGCTGAAAAACACAGGAAAGCATCTGGCCCCAAGTCAGAATCTACTGCATGTAGATTTGCCATGTGTTTACTCATGCAAATCCTTTCCCCCCTCCCCCTTGGATGCTGGAAAGTTCATCTGTTGCTCAGAAATTCTTGATCATTCCACAGAGTGACAGAAAAACGCATTCAGTTTGAGGGGGGAATCAATTTTGATAGGTAAACCATGCATGCCCTTTGAGGTTGGAGTTTGCTGATAAGAATTTCAGAGTCTTTCTTGAATTCTTATCGGAAACATCTCATGAAGAAGCAGAAGAGTTACTTATTTGATTATATCACACCAGGTCAACATTTTTCATATTCCAGTTCTATGGTCCTTCTGTCTGCCTTGAGTGTCAACAAAATTACCCACGAAGCGTTTAAAGTATATCTTCCTGGGCAATACACCTGGGGATTCTGATGACTTATACCCAAGGCTTGGGAAGCTGTAGTTTTGGGGAAAAGAAAAAGGAAATACTTCCATTGAAGTTTGCAGACAGAGCTGAGAGTGACCCAAACAATCTCTTCTGACAGTTTGAGAAGGTGAACGTAGTACTTCACCCCTTACCTGAGTCCCTGTAGAGGACAGTTCCCAACAAAATGTCAGCCTGATCTAAAGACTTCAGCCACTTCCCTACTTCATTCAGGTTGCTTCTTGGCATTTCTCATCCTTATCTTTCCCTTTCTGAGTCTTTTTTCTTTTTTGAAAGACCCAGACCCGAATCCTAATGCTCATTGCAGACCTTGTCCTAGACTTGGACTAGTGAGTGGTGTCAGGACTAGAGGTGGCATAGGAAGAAGAAAAAGACTCAAGTCAGTGGTCTCTGACCTCTTTGCTCCACTATGTATGATCCCCCAGCTCTGCTCTGTCATCCATAACTGCAGGTCTGCTGAGAGGCCCCACATGTCTGGACTTCCTCTGGCTGTAACTATATATAAATTCAGTCCTGTGTCCAAACAACAGCCACTTGTACTTGGGTTGCTCTGCATCTTTCCCTTGGGTCTGCTATAGGGGAACCTATGAGGCAAGTGTGAAGAATAGAGGCTAATGCCTAATGCCCTGCCAGGATAGATTGAACATAGGATTGCTGTAGTGTGCTCTCGTTTGGATTCCCACAGAAGCAGATTCTGAGACAAGGTTTTGGGGACAGATAGTTTTTAGGGAGGTGAAGGATACAAGTTGGGGGAGTGGGGAAAAGAAAGAGGGAAGGGAAGACAGCCAATGCAGGACACATCATTTAGCTAGTGACCAACTTGGGCAGCTGGAGCTCACCAGCCAACACCATTAACTTCTCAGTTCACACTCTGCTTCACGGCTTAAACACAGCTATTTCAATTGTTCAGAGAGAATGACAGGATCAAATTAATTGTTTCTTCATATTTATAATCATTGTGCTATCATTGTTTGTTTAAAATCTGTTTGCATTTTAAAAGGACATAGGAGGGGTCAAATGTATGAACTGTGCCCTTAGTAAATTCAGCCTTTGAAACTGTTAATGAACTTACCTGATGAAACCAAAACTTACAACTGAATTTGTGTGTATCTAGGGCTAATGTGAGGTTTATTTGTAAGATAAGTAAGAGCAATGCGGTGATTTATTATAAACTGAATCTTAACAGTAACCCCATCAATTGCTTAAAATATAGACTAACAGTATTTTTCAGGTGTAATACTTCATCACTGACATTCTAGAGTTTCTGGCTTGTGGTACCAGTAGAAACAGGCTGTCTTGTTCCTTTAGTCCATTTAGTTATGGTTTTCTGGATTCTTTTTAAATGCAACCTCTCACTGTCTGCTCTCAGCGAAGATCACAACCACTGCCCCATCTTAGGACTCCCTTGCCCCCTATCCCTCCAAAATCACTTTAAAGACTTCTCAGATTTTTGCTAGAGTTTTATTCAAATACTGCCTGTGGTATGGTTCAACAGAATGAAGTAGAAGTGATTTAGCTTACTTTTACCCTCAGGTATACACATCACCTTACTTGAACCTGGGCAAGGAAATTGTCTTCTATGGGCTCTTTCTAGCTCTTTCTTCTCCCTGTCTTCAATGGAGTTCCAAGCCATGTGGCACCTCTTAAGGATCTAATATTACAGCACAATGCGGAGCGTGACCACTGCTGCGTCCCACATACTTAGGGGTCAAGTGTGTCTTTCTGTTTGCTTTTTCTTTTTATTCCTCATTATGGCGGAACCATTTGAAGTTGCAGTTATTTGATTTGTATTCCATAGATAGCATAGGCACACAGGACTGGAACAGAGGCATTCCTGCTTTGATATTTTAAGAATATGGGAAGAGAATATGCAGTTTAAAAGCCAGAGCTCTTCTGAGCTTCCCAGCAGGACTCACAGGACAGTCTACAAATGCTAAAACCACCTTGAAGAGGACCTAGTCTCTTTAGGAGAGCTGGAACCCCCTTGCAACTTGTGTGTTATAATCCAAGTTATTACAAAAGATGTGGTTTATCTTTTCCCTTAAAGAAATTTCCCCCAAATATCCTATTTGTTTAGCTAATTTTTATGGTTTTCTCTGTGTAACGGGGAAAAGAGTTTGACATGTTTTATAGTTAAAGCTTATTACTAATTTGGGCAGATTTTTCTGGTAATTACTTGAAGCACTAACACTTAATAGTTTTCACTCAGCTCATTCCAGTCTTGCTATCCCTTGACAGAGCTTATTCTATCCCTCACTAAGTTTTAATGTACAGAAAATATCACTATCAGAGGACAGACTCTACTAAATTTAAAAATGCTTGGAGATTTCTAAACTTTTACCTTGACAAAGCAATGGTGTTATGAAGGAGAAAGAAAAGAATTTAGTAGGGTACATGGAGTGCCCTAAGTTATCTTTAGAACAGTAAATGCATTTAATATAACACTCAATAGAGCAGATCATTTCCTTTTCTATAACTGAGGACATTGAGGTACAAAGAAATTGAAGATCCCTCACAGTTAATGGAGGCAAATTCTGACATGTGCAGTTCAAAAACCAGAGCTCATAATTCCTTTTACAAATGAAAAAATAATAATAATTTCAGTGTTTATTTTATTAATCTGTACTAAGATACTACTAAGAATAATTTCAGTGTTTATTTATTAATCTGTACTAAGATCTAATACTCAAACTAATTTTTACTGATTATCTAACATATGTTAGGCACACCCTGGTCTCTTTCCCTTCTTGGCCACGGGGTAAGAGGTCTTGTCTATCAAGAACTCCCACCTTGATGCTGTGCCTCACTGAAGGGTCCAGAGAACAAGGACAACCAGTCATGGACTGAAATTTCCAAAATTATGAGCCCCAAAAGATCTTTTCTAAGTTGCTTATCTCCAGTATTTCATCATGCTGATGGAAAGCTGGCTAACACATACCTCCTTTTTTCTTCCTGCCTCTACATGGTATATTTGAATACTAGAGCTGAACTACCTTGTATGGTAATCATTAGCCTCAGGAAGCATTCAAATTTAAATTAATTTCAAGTTCAGTTAAATCTGTTAAATTTCATTTAAAAAGTATAAAATAAATAAAACTAGTTTACACAAAAAGTAAACAAAAAACGTCTGCTTTTGCAAATAACTGTCATATCTCAGTTTCAGTGTGGAAGTGTGACTGATTTGTCTGTCGATTTGAGTGCAAATTATGTGAAAACTTTTTTTTTTTTTTTTTGCTAGGCTCTCTTGTGGAGTGGATATTAAAGCCGTATGGCATCTGTTGCACTTTTAAGGGCTGTGTTTTTAAGGAGATGAGGTGGACACACAGGAAGATGGATCCAAGTCTCCTGGTGCTCCTATAGTCAGAATTTGAAGGCACTCTGGATAAGAGAGACTTCCTAGTGCTTGATACTTCTCCTCACCTGCTATATTTCAAGGGTTACTGCTGTTTGGATGCCATGGTTTCACATTCATCTCCTCAGCAGACCCAGCCATGTGCTTTGTCCACTGCATCCCATGGCCTACAAAGCTCTTCCCTGACTCTCATTGGTCAGAAGGTCCCCATCCCAACTTCATAGCTTTCCCTCTAAGGCTTTTTCTAATGCCCAAAACACAGTTCTCCTTACTCTGTTCTGACTTTTCCTTTTCCTTGTCTCTACTCTCACCTCTGTATATTAGAGCTTCAGTATATTACTGATAAATCAGCAAATTACTTTCAAACAGGGAACTAACAGAAATAACATGATTTTCTAATCACTTGGGGCATTACTTAGTCATCTGATATCATGGATGTCCATTTAGGTGCTTAATGTTTGTGGATATGCTGATAAAGTAGCCAAAGTATTTTTTCTTTTCTGTAAGACAGAATTCAGATGCAATTAACATGGAAATTACATATACATAGGGGATCAGGGTAATAAAAAGTTAATTTCATATTTAAAGGTGCCAAGAAGAGCACATGGAGGCTTATGGTGTTAATTATTCAAATATAGGTTCAAGAGAGTTGGTTTATGATGCTATTCTCCTAAATAGCATAAACAAACACATAAAAAAACAAAACACCTTTGTACTTTCCTGCTTGTGTGGATATTGACCACTTTCCTGCTCACTCATCTATAAACTGAATCATTGAACTTGTCATTGAGAAGGTAACTAAATTATTGTTGGCAGTTGCATGGGTTAGTTAAGGATCCGGTCAAATGCTATTAAATATAACTGCATTCATGGGCATTCTGGAGAACTAAACTTTAAGGTACTGAAAGGTGTTTAATAGAGGGGCAAATTTTATAGGTGATACCAAGATAGATTTTCCTATAAAATAAATCTCTCTGAAAATAACATTGTGATGTTTAGAAAGTTTGTATCAAGAGCCTTAAAAATAGCCATGTTCTTCATCCCTAAGGTCCAACTTATGAAATCTAACCCAAGGAAAGATCAGATGTGTGATGAAAGATTTAACAAGTATCATGCTGGTTACAGCTTAATTACACAGGAGAAAAGCAAATAACACAAAGATCTAATCTTAGATAAATGGTTAAACATATCTGTTGCAAATTCTATGTTAATATTAACAATCATGTATTTCTAAAGGCATATATAATTCCATAGGTATATTTATACAGTGCCACTTTGCCTAAGTTATCCAAACTCTATTAGTGTTTGATATACCTCTTGTTGGTAGAATTACGTTTCTTGTTTTCTTTTTGTTAAATTTTTCTCTGTTTTCCTAATGACATACTAAATCATTTCTGATGACAGATTTATTTATTAATTAAAAATCATTTGTCAGTGTTCCTTCTTCCCAACCTTTTCTTTATACCAATACCTAATTGAAGGGCCAGCTATAAAAACTGTCATAAGATGATGGGCATGAAGGATAAGCCAAGCCCCTTCCTCTGATGTGACTTTGATTTGTACAAATGTGAGATCAGTGTCTTGTCCAGCTAAGCAAAAAGTGAAATAAATGTGGGATTTCCTGAAGCCTTATGACTTGCCGAATTTAAACCCTAGTCCAAATATAGTTTCTCCTTTCAGAAATCATGAAGCTTCAAATGAAGGTTACGGTCAGTGTCAGCCTTTTAAAAGTAATAAGAGGAAAGCAGTCCACTTGGCTTCTTGCAGATTCTCTCCTCAGAGGAGGAATGAGTCAAGTGCAGACACAGACTGGCAAGTGGCCACAAAGGAGGGCACCAACTTTGCAAGATGTTTACAGTGTGCTAAAGCCAGAGGTGCTGCCACTGGCTATTACAGAGCCAGGGCTTTTCCAAGCATCACAATTCAAGGAGCTCTCCCGAGCATTGCAAGGGGGAAAAAAAAGTGGTGGTGGGGGAGTCTGAAAGACCCAAATTAAAATCCAGTTTTAAAGATTGTATGTACATTTAAAATTGAAAATTAAAGGTGCTGAACAAAGATTTGTATGTAACTGCATCCAGAGAGCTTGGAAGTTCTTAGTAGATTCCTAAGGACTTAGCTAGGATTCTGCTTTCCAATTACAAGAAACTTCAAGTAAGTCTTGCTTTGTGTTCATATATAAGTAATTTCACCTATCTGAATCTCTTTGCTGTCTCTAATATGGGAAGACTAATAGCACTTAACTCATAAGGCACCTGTGAGCAAGGAAAAAAATTAACACAGCATCTGAAATGTATTGAAGATTCTATAAATATGAATTAAAACAATTAATATATTTATACTATTAATGCACATTTTATGTCTCAAAAAATAAGTCTTTTAAAATTCAGTACACTTTTACTGAATTTTAGCTGTATTTGGAAGAAATACACCTACCCTTACAGCCTATGCGAGCTTTAAGATCTTACAAAGCAATCTAATAGCTCATTAATTACAGCTGACAATCTGTTTTTAAGTGCATGAGGTTGAAGCACCTTAAAGTTCAACTCTGTCTAATGATGAACGGTAGTTCCTCCACCTTCCATCTTGCAGCACTTGTAATCTTGTGTGTGTGTGTGTGTGCGCGCACACATGCGCACAAGCACCCCTTATCCACCAAAGACCAGTTCCGAATCAAATGATATGAACCCAAACTGAACCAGGAGTTCCTCGAGAAAGTCAAGATCTGAATTTTTTTTTAGTTAATCTTGACCCTATGAATGCTTCTCATTTTGACTGAACAATCTGCATGAGGAGAAAATTTGTTTATGAATTCATCAGTTGGCATAAAGAAGTTTGGATTGCCATCTGCATATTTGCTTCTTGCTCTCTAGGACTTATTTTTTATTTTGGCCCTGCTCTCACTTGTTCCATCTTCAGACACACTGGGAAGCAATTGTGCTTACTGAATCACGAGGGAGATGACTCAAACAAACCTCAGTGAGGTACCACCCCCCCCTGACGGAGCAGTCTTGTGGTTCCAGGCGCCTGTTCCTCTAGTCTTGGATGATGTTGACTTCTTTTCCTTTCCTGGATGTGTTGTGATTTGAACATTTTAATAACCATGCATAAGAGCATAGATATTCCAAGAGAGCAACCTAAGTTATATGAATGAACGTTTTATATTGAATTGGTAAAGATATAATCAGATGTATATACTTTATATTGGCCTAAATGAAGTTATGATTATTTTGAATGAGGGAAACATGGCTTTAAAGTTTCTTCATGCATTTACTTCCAATTTACCATGATATAATCTGCACTTACCTAGAGTATCTCTAATATGGCTTCCTTGTTAATATTAAATGATTTTACAAAGCTGGCACATGGCTTAGAAGTTGAGCTTTTTGTATGTTTGTAAAACTGACCAGTATCCTAATAAATACAAATAGAAATGAAACAATAATTTAAAATGTTTAAAAATCAGAATAGCCGAAAGAATATACAAATGATTGTAAAGGAAAATATCATTGGAAAAACAAATCACCCAGTGGGAAAAATAAAGAACACTTAGTTCAAAATAGAAAGAAAAGGAAAAAGAAATTTTGAACAACTTTTTAAAGGAAAGCTGCCATCCCAAACTGACTATGTAAGTACAGTGATCTCAAAAAATAATGTTCATAGTTGATAAGCACAGCTATATTAATTATGTTATACAACCGAAGGATGTTACTGGTTTAATAAAAAGAAGTGCTTGTTTGTAGTGTGTCTGCATAATCTGAGCCTACCCTTCATCTTCTTGGTCACTTATTCACATATGAAATTACATAGCCAATCAGTGAGGGCTTTACCATCCTAATACGGCTTTTTGTCAGAGTCATTAAGATCTTTTTTCTATTGCTCTTCCTCTTTGAACCTAAAATATATAGCGAAGAAAGCTTGTTTGTATTCTGTTTAGAAAGTGGATATTTAATTAGTGCCACCTCTGTAAACATACTATGTTTAAAGTGATTACATTTGTTACACATCGCCTCCAACTCTACCTTTAGCAACCAAATCACTCTTCCTCATCAGCTATCATTTATGTCTTATTAGCATTAAGAGGAAATGAAACTGAGTCACACCCATTTAATTTTGCCTCAGGGCTTTCAGGTTTATTTTTTATATGGAGAATGCTTGTTTCTTATATGGAACATTTAAAATGATTAATATTATACCATAAATTGTATAAAATATAACTTAATATTAATTTTCTATATGCATGACATGAACATATTTCAGCCATAATCCCTGGAAGAAACTGCATTTAAGCAAGTCCTGTGATTTTGTTTTTATATTGTTTGTTGAAATACATGCTCGCTAAGGCTTTGTCCCTCTCTTTTTATTCCTTTTCTCCTAAACATTCCTGGCAGGTACTAAGCACAAAACCATGCTAGAAGCCCGAAATGGAAGTGGGACTATCAAAGCCTTTCCTCGGGCAGGAGTGAAAGGCAAAGGACCTGTCAATAAGGGAAACACAGGACTCCAGAACAAAACGTTTCACTGTGAAATCTGTGATGTGCATGTCAACTCAGAAACACAACTTAAACAGGTAGGCAGCAACATGTTCAAGGAATGAAATCAAACAGGGGACACTTATTAACAACATGTGCATTCTGCTTTCCTGCCTTCTCATTTCTGTCTCTGTGCCATCCATCCGTCCATCCATCCATCCATCCATCCACCCATCCACCCATCCACCCACGTGTCTTCTATTCATGCTCCTTAGTTATTTATGCTCATTTTTAGTTGCTGGAGGGAATGCTAAAATGCAGTGGCTTCTAGGAGCTTTTGGAAATTGTTGGCAGTGGGTTTGTACTATTCCTGCATGTGAACAGTGGGAGGAGAAGGGATAGAAGGTCTTTACCAGGTTTCCCACACAAAAGTGTAGATTTTTGTTAAAGGTCAATTTGCAAAATTCCATTTTTACTTCTTTAGATCTTTGCATGCTGTCACTAATTTTATACTGTGCCATTATTTTATTGTATGTTCTTTGCTACATGGTATTGTGCTATATTTCCAAATCTTGCCGCCACCTGCTAAAGGGATGTCTAATCAGGTTGCATTCATTTGTACTTTGAATAGCCTTTTAAAGAGATCAGTTGTTCATTTCCAACTGAAGGCCAAACCCTCGTGTTGTGTTGTTTTATACGTATATATGAGCTATTTTGCTGATTTTATGCACCCTAGTTATTTATCTTCAGAATTTAAGGGGTTGACATTTGGCTATACAAATATGAGGATAAATATTGGTATGGAAATAAATTCATGCTTGCCTGGGCATCTTTGTTTATTTGCACATAAAATTTCTTCAGACATTTCCTTTCTTTTGTAAATAATTTTAAAGTGGTGGGGGCGCGGGGGAGATGTGCAGTGATAAGGCAAAAAAGCTGGGAAAAACATAAGACCCTTCTATTTGTTAAAAATATACTAAAATGGATAGCACAAAAATGTATCTCCTCAAGGTATCAAAATCCAAGGGCAAAAGTGCATACTCTTTTATTTTTGTCTTTCTAAAACTTTCATGAAATAATTATTATCTTTTTTCCAGGTTAAAACAATATTTGCAAATATTTTGGGGGGATGAATTTGTAAAAGCTGTAATTTTTAATTGCCTTTAATAGCACATTAGCAGTAGAAGGCACAAAGACAGAGCTGCTGGGAAGCCCCCCAAACCGAAATACAGTCCTTACAACAAACTACAAAAGACAGCACATCCGCTGGGGGTGAGTATCATTTCTGCCTCCCAAAAGATAGCATGATGTGTCTTTTAATGTCCCACATTCTGCTGAATATATGTACACATTTTTTTTGGAAGGGGGGATGAGTTACTAAATAGACTAATTGTTTTTATATTCCAACTTCTGCTCCACCAATGGACTTATTGGTCTCATGATTTGTTTCAGGATTTTGCCACCTTTAGCTACAGCTCAGTATTCTATCTATTTGTGTTGGGCTCAGGTTTATCTTAGAGCACAGGGAAGGGATCAGCGCCAGGTTGTTTTGAGTCCAGCGAATAGTCCTATGATATGTCATCCTGGTGTTAGTGAAAACTTTTAGGAAAGAAGGTTAGTGCAAAACAAATTATTAAATTGTCTTTTTAACATGTTCAAGAGAGAAAGCCTTGGTGATGGTCTCAATAATTTTCCATTTTTAAAACACAATCTCAAGGGTATACCTTAATTTTATTATTCATCCAAGGACACTGTAAAAGGTCTGGGGAAATGTATCCTGAGAAATTCCCTCTCCCTATTATTCCAGGAATAGTTTTTTTAGATTAGAAAACATAGTAGGGTAATGTCCTGACTGGGATTGTTTGGTAGGACTTTAAGGGCAATCTGTGAAATCCTCTGACATTGTAGGCTATAATAGGCTACCCCAGGATAGACTGACCTAAAGACTTTAATAGGATTGCTCATTTTATACGAACGAAGTCACTTTACTTTTTTGTGCAGAAACATTTCTTGCTGCCTTAGGAGACTGAATTCTGTGCAGAGTTGATACTTCAGCACTGCTAGTCACAACCTTCAGTGCCATCTCCAGCCAGCACAGATGGCAGCTTTGACAGGCGACAGAATGATACTTACACAGAGCAGTCAAAATCGTGTTACAATTAGAATCGAAACCCTCCTTTTCAAAATTAATTTTATTTATTTTAATTAGGTATACATGACAGCAGAATGCACTTTGATTTATTGTACACAATTGCAGCACACCTTTACATTTCTCTGGTTGTACACGGTGTAGCGTCACACCATATGTGCAGTCATATATGTACCTAGGGTAATGTTGTCCATCTCATTCCACCATATTTCCTGTCCCCAAGCACCCTCCCTCCCCTCCCTCCCTTTCCTCCACCTTAACCAAGACTGTGTTACTGTTTCCATAAGTGGGAACATTCCATCCAGTGAGAACAGGTATCTTAGAACTGGTATCTTTCTCACATTTCGTTACATGTCACTGGATTAACTGACTTTGTAGAAGAAGATTGAGAGAATGTGGTGACCATTTTCACACACCCAGCAAAGAAGACAAGGGGCAGGGAGGGGGAGTCAAAATTTGGGGAAGATAGTTCACTTCTTTATTGAAGGTAAATGTTTGTTATTTTTATTTCCCTTGAATAGTCCCTCATCCAACAGGAACCACATTCCGTATGCTACCTGGTTTACATGCACACTGGAAGAGTCTAGTAGCACTGGGAGCAACAATGACCCTCTTTAAAAATGTCTATTCCTTGAAACTTTATGTGTGTGAAAAGAATGACCTAAAATGTTCCTTTTTTTTTTTTCTCAAGATGAATACGTTCCCCTGAATATTTTCTGACCAGAATAAAATAAGGTTCCTGAATACTTTTCTGGGTGACTCTTAAACATCCTTGGGTGGCTGTTTTCAGCCATCTCTAGTCTCTTCCTAAGGGAAAGTATTCTACACTTTCCATTTCTTTTATTGTCAATTTACAAATGCAAGTTCATCTGTGTAGTTGTTCAGTACTGTGTTTTTGTTTTAATTTTTTAATTTGCTTTAATTAGTTACACATGACAGTACAATGATCTTGACATATCTTACATTTGAATCAGATGGGATGTGTTTTTAAAGCTGCCTACCATTTTTGGATTCTAAGAACAGACTCCCAAAGTTTTGTTCTTGTCCTATTCTCTCTTTATTGCAGGTGAAATTAGTATTTTCAAAAGAACCTTCAAAGCCATTGGCTCCCAGAATTCTACCCAATCCCCTGGCAGCTGCAGCAGCTGCTGCAGCTGTGGCAGTGAATTCTCCCTTCAGTCTCCGAACTACTCCAGCAGCCACGCTGTTTCAGACCTCTGCACTCCCTCCAGCACTCCTGCGGCCAGCGCCAGGACCCATTCGGACCACCCACACTCCTGTGCTGTTTGCTCCCTACTGAATTCCAAACAGGAGTCATTGTACTGCAATAATTTTTCAAAAAACAAAAACAAAAAAAAAAAACAAAAAAAAGTAAAACAAAAGAGAACTATGCAGTGTTTATTTATAGTTTAAAGTATATCTGAAGAGCCAGGACTTTTGATAGTGAAATGAAAAGATTATTAAAAAAAAAAAAAACAGGGTGGGAGGGGTTTGGGGGGAGGGAGGGTGCGGTATCTTCTCCAAATTAAAGCATTCCTCTTGAACATTGATTGTTTTAGAAGTGATCTCCAGCATTGACTTGTAGTGGTATCTAGAACTTCTGAAGCCTCTGTGACTGTGCTTTTGGGCACCCATTTCCCCTGCATTGTCTTCTCTGCTTTACGAAACAACTATACATTGTCTAAGGGCATTAACTGGTTCCAATGTATATATAATAATTTACTCTGTAGATTAAAATAATATGAAAAAAAAGAAAAAAAAAACATAAAAAACAAAAGCAACACTGTGAATAGTAGTACCCCGTGCTGGTCCTCTTGCTATGACAGCAGTTACTGGGTATTTATCCCAACAAAAGTAGATACAGTAGATGTCTTGTAAAACAATAGTGCTGTGTCTCAATCTATGCCATTAGGTTCTAAAGAATCGCAAAAGGTAGAACGAACAACTATTTCATACCAGTAAGCAGTAAAACAATAAACACCAGATGGTGTCAAAGGGGCCTCTCTGGTTAGCATTTTCCCCCACACCTCTCCAGCGTGGAGTTAGAACAGGGCTATGCTTAGAGGTGGGAAAGGCATTCATAATGATAAATTTTTTTACCAAACACTAATTCCCCACCCTGAAGAGGTATTGCTGGAAACAGGGAAGCATGTGTAGTGAGTCTTTGTCTGAACACAGATAAACCCATGTATCATGGGTGTTTAGAAAGAAATCAGTACAACTATTCAGTTTCAAGGACAAGGAGCAATCTCAACCTCAGATAATAATGCTAAGTCTTTCATGTTAGTGCATAATCTGATAAAAAACAGAGAATATTGCATCTCTGCAATATCCCCTTTATATCATACCAGTAGGGTTGTCTCAAAGATTTCTCTCTTCTTTAAGTATTGATGGTAGAATTAAGCATTAGCTAATGTTATGGGTTTATTATTGTTTTTTAGATTTCCTACTGAGATGATATAAACTATTAATATATATTTAAATGTTAGTAACAACAATAAAAATGAGTCTGACTTAATTGCACAATGATGACGTGATGTTAAAAAATACTGGTAAGTTCCACTAGACCATCATTTCTCCAGTGGAGTTGTGAAATTCTGATAGCCTTTGAGATTCACCATAAAGCTGAAAGAAGTTGATGTTTTACCTTTAAAACAAGATTTATCAGGGGTATATATAAATATATGTATATTGTATATATGTTAGAAAGATTAAGAGAATAACTTATAAAAAGAAAATCTATATAAAATAATTCTATAACCATTCAGTGTTACATGTTATCATTAAATTGGTAACAAATGGCATAAAATAGCTGTGCCTTTAATTTGTGATAAAGGCTATTTGCTTTTTCCCATAGAAAGCTGACATATACCTATCAATATGGTGGGATTTGATGCAGCCAGTCTGTTGCATTGAGAAGAACAATGGCACTCAATCTTAGAGCAAGGACAAAACATGTACAAATCAATCCTATGTGATTTAGAGAAAAAAAAATTATTTTTGGAAAGGTTTTGTAAAGACTATTTAAAAATATAGGGAAGGGCTGGGTGTGGCCTTCTTAAAACTGCTCTTATCTAAACTAGTAACCTTTAGAGAGAGGTATAAAGAATCAACATGAAACCATTGGAAAGATAGGTATTTATCATTTGTCATTTTATATTTAAAAACATCCATTAGTGTTCTTGGTGCTCAACATTAAACATGGTCTTTGGAGTACATCTCCATTATCTAGCTATAGAAATTTGTCATCTAAGTGTGTCTTTAAAGCTGTTGTTATATATTATTTTGTTAAACAACCAAATGAAACAAAAAAAAAGAAGGAAGGACAGGGAATAAGAAAATGTACTCCATCAGTCTTCTGGTAAAGAGAATTTCAAGCCATGCCTCTCTGATTAAACATATTGGATAGCGTTAAATTTGTTTTTGCAAGTATCTGGTGATTTTGCATTTACCACTATCTCTACTGTAGTTTTATAGCAAGTGTTTTTTTTTTTGTTTTGTTTTGTTTTTTGCCTAGAGACTCTGCTAATTCAGCCAGGTGAACAGTTAGTTACTCACGAGTTTTGTTAATTTGGGCTCTGTGTCTCCCCTATGTGACCTGCTTCTAACCGTCCTGGACTTTGGTCTCCTTTCTCTGCTCTGTCAAATATTTTGATCTTTCCTAACATGATGCTGAATCTCGATACAACTATCTTTATATCTGATAAGGCCTCTCTTTCTGTTGGAGAATTTGATGTTAATCAAAGCCGTCTTACTATATAATGTGCTTTTGCTGTTCTTCCCCATTTTCACCAAAGTGAATAAGCCAGTCCACTAGAAGTCAGGGCCTGTGGGATACACAGAGTCCTGGGTTATCGAGTGTCACTAACTTCAATGATTTGCTGGGAACAAACAAATCAGCCATATTTTTCTCCATCAGCCATATGAGAAAACTCAGAAATACCTGGATCCCTTCTGCCTCTCTTCGCCATGGAACCATTTTTGTTTAAATGGTCTCTTAAATTGGAGTTGTAACCATCAGTTGTCTTTTATTCACTACCTAATAAAGGATGAAGCCTAAACATAGAACTTACGGCGGATTCTCTGTGAATTGTTTCCCCACACACACTCCACATATTTATCAACACCAGATCAACATCTATTATAGTCCCGACTGTAGAGCTGAATCTCTTTCCCTTAGGGAGCATTTTTCATGAATAAAGATTGACAATTCAGATTGGTCAGCGCTGGTGCTATGAAAATCCCCAAAGGTGGTCTGACTCTATGGTTATTCCCATGCATCACCCCCATTGGCAAGGAAGGTGATTGAGTAAGCATCTTGGATTTCATTTGAAACAAATATAAATGCATTGCAAGAGCCAAATGCTGCTGGAAAAAGCATTGTTGCACCTCATCCAGAGGGAAATGGGAAACAGTTGTTGGGGGAGGTACTGTGTTTCTCTTCTGAGAAAACAGGTGATTACACATGACAAATTGCACCTCTCACTCGCTCTAAACTTTGAAGAGTAGTTGTTTAGTCACATAAGCAAACACAGTTGGCTTTTGGCAAGTTATATTACCACTGCTTCCTCTGAAAGGATTGCTATCTTTAGGTACAATCGGGCGACACCCTTCACTCTTGCAATAGTTCACTGCCATTATCAGAGATATAATTTTGTTGACAAGGAGCTACTTAAAAAGGAGTATTTATACACATTTGGGAATTTAAAAAAAACCAAAACAGGAAATAAGTTATTAAGGATTAAAAGGCAATGAAAAAAATCAAAGTACATTGTGGGTATGCTCCTACAAGTTTCTAAGGCACAGGACTAATAATAATAGACCTGGGCATTTATTTCACTTATGATTAAATTCATTGTGTCCACACCCATGTCACGTTTCAACATTTCTGACATCAGAAAGCCTAAAAGATGATTGAAGTAAGTAGTCTTCCTTAGAAACTGAATTGTAAGTAAGCTTCTTCCTTAGAAAGTGAATTGATGTGCAACTACCTTTCTGTCCATAAGTACAGATGGCATTGTAAAAGTAACTACGCAAGAAAGCAGCATGAAATGGCATGAAAGGGAAAGCAGTGAGACTGCAGCCTTTATCTCTGACCAGCTGGGTAAGTTTCAATGGTCAGCGGATACCTTGCTCGAAATTTCTTCATCAGTAATAAAATGGGTGAAGGGGACTAAAGGCTAAGCTGGTTGAATGTTTTAGCACTTTTGAAAGCCCATTTCTCTTGTCACCTCAGCAATAAAACTTGCTCTCCTAGAGGTAACAAAATAGCTACTCAAATACTTCCATGTATCCAGAGAATGATTTTGTATTCTTTTCTATCCTGGGTGTACAAAGCGGATCAGTCATCTCAGTCAGATGTAGATCCACCAATGAATATTGGAAGAGCTGCTAATTCACTTACTATTCACTTGTTATTACTGGACTTATGCCAAAAGTCATGTAAGATGTTCTGCCTGTCTTTTCCCAATCTGGATTAATTAATTCAGAGCAAAACCAATCCTGATAAGAGCAGTTGGAAGCCAGCAGTGTGGTGTGGAATGAAGCAATGGATCGTTATACCTCATCCTATTACTTTTCTTACACTTTCTCTCATTAGTAGAAACAGGTCCCATCTGAACCATAACTAATTCTCCCCCTGAGTGTGCATGTATTTAAGCTAATTGCCACCTTATTAAGACCATTTATTCCACAGGGAGAAAAAAATCAGGTATAAAATCCGTCATTGTTGCAAGAATTATTTGAACTGAGTCCCGAAAGGGTCTATTTTACCTAATAATTGCTGTTTGTTTTTGTTAAATGAGGAGATATATTTCTGGAGTGTTTCTCCTGGTGTTGGTGTGGTATGCTTTCATAACTAGACAAGTTTCTGTCAGAAGGTGAGATGGATCATTTAGTGGCAGGTTTCCATTGCCTATTTGCTAGTTCTGAGAGTGGTTTCAGGCTTACCGAGAAAGATGAGTATGTGGATAAATCATTCTCAGATGGCCTACAAGGTTGTTACTTCCCAGAATGGATTTATGGCTCAGCAGAATGATGAATAGCAATGGGAGGAAGATTCTACACTGGAAAAATCTCCATGTACTCCTGGATTAGAAGGTCATGAATGGGGACAGAGTTTAAAGAATTCTTTGAAGGGGTCATCAGTGCACAGATGTGAAAGAATTGAGAAATACTTCCCATTTGCAGGCCTTTTATTCCCCTTCTCAGTGATTGAAATTCATTCTTCTTAATTGGTTGAATTGACCCTAGAAACTGACAAACATATTTGAAGTCAAATTTGATCATTAATAAATGTGATTGAGTTGAGTATGTTAGAGTGTGACCAAGTTTACTGAAACAATATAGAATGAGGTCACATTCATTTTATGAATGAAAGTTCAGTTCTAAAGAAAATTTCCAAAGAGTAGGACTAAACTAAGTTGTGAACAAGGAAGTAGAAATTAAATTTAGTCACCAATTCTAAAATTAATGCACGCTTACACACACACACACACACACAGAGAATTTTAAAAGTGTGACTCTGTATTTTTATATCGTCATTTTTTCAAAGTTATGACAAATTGTTTTCCATGATTAGGTTGGTTTCACACTAAGAAGAGAAAGTTTAATTTCATACTTGGAATCTTAATTATTTTAGGGTGTTGGAGGTGTTAAAAGTAGATATAATGTCAAGTACTATGTTGTCTGACAAGATTATTATGCTAGCAATTTGAGTTGGAAAATGTAATTGTCATTTCATATAAGCTACAGAGTTTGAGTGTGGAATCTGAATCCTTATCAAGTCTTCAGTTCTTGGTAGTGTGCAGAACATGTTAAATTGGACAAAAGAAAATTAGCAGAGAGAGATTACTTTATCAGAGACTCAGATTACATTTATGGAAACAAAGATATTTTTTAAAAAGTCTCTCAGATGTAGGATTGTTCAACATAAATTCATTGAGAAACAAATGTTACAGAGTTTTGAAGCCATAATGAGAACATATGGAATTTTATTAACCAAAACAATAAGTGGGTTTTATTGAGTATTTGTCAACCAACAATTTTATTGTGTAATCTTAGTATAGGACACCAAGGTTAATAATGGGTAAAAGCTAATATCAGGTGAAGACCCCTCATGAATTGCTTTGTGTCTTTTGTGACTTTGAGCTAAAATTACTACAATTGGAAAAGAAATTAAGTTCTTGAGATTCTGGAAAGTATCACTTTTGTCAAATAGGAAGAGTTTCTTGTGATGACATCTCCTTTAAAAAAAATAAGATAACAGAAAAATATGTAGAAGTATTGGATAGTTGGGGAAAGCCTGGTGGCCAAGGGATATGGGCACAAGGTTGAACACCACAGAACAGTGAACACATGTGCTGGCTTCACCACAAATTATCTGAGGCAACTGAGCTCATGATTCTCTTCTGAAAAACCTAGGAATAATAATCAATCATTTGACAGAAATCTACTGAAATACAAACGAAACGAAACTTCAGTTAAGCAAGTCATTTGTCACTTAAATTAGTTCCAAAATCAAAACTTTATTTGTATAAATTTGAATAAGATTGTTTTAAAATGCAATTAATATTTATACTATTCAAATTCCCACATGTTGAAATGAAACCCATCTGATTCCAAAGCTACATCATATGCAGTTATACTAGGTACTCTGTTTTGTCCTGTAAGTACTTAATGTGATGTTTTTAAAAAATAATTATATGAAAATGGAGCTATGCACTAAAAACATTGCTCTTCTTGGGGAATTTATCAGTCATGTTATTTTCATTACTTTTATCAGTTTCTTATCAGTATCTCATGTCAGTTTCAACTAATTGTAGTGAAACATTTGTGCTGATAATATTTGATTTATTAGAATTTAATAATTAATTTTAAACTAACTCCCAAGAGTGATCAGAGGAAAATTTAATATTGGTCACTGTATGGTGAAGTATTCAGCTTTTACAAAACTAGATGTTTGGCTATTTTAAAATGGTTATTCATATTCATATTCCTAAAGTACCTGTCAAATGGATTGAGTGATGACTGCTTATTTATTGACATGAGCCAATTTGGACTTTAGTCTCAAGACATAAAAATAGCTCAATCTACATGAATTTGGTACAAATTGAAGGCAGTATTTTTTTTCTTTTTTCTGACAACAGCTTCTTAATGGAAACCTTGGTATTAATGTTCAAAAAAGTGAGTAATATTCTTAAATAAAAAATAGGCTGTGATTTGTTCAATGTGTTTATGACACTTCAAAGAAACAATTCAAGGGGAAAATATTCATGAGATTTTTTTCCTCCCTTTTATTCTCATGACCTAGAAAATGCAATCAGAGCTCTGTCCAATAGTAGCCTCTTGGCAAAAGGTTTGATAAGGTTTTACCTGATAGCAATAATTCCTCATATTTGAAAAAGCATTCCCACAAATATTGAAGAGAGGCATAGTAGACATAGCTATCTTAAGTTTACACAAACAACCAAACAAACATGCAAAACAGGATCAAAGAAATTGACATCCAAAGGTATGGGATTCTGATTTACTAGTCAGCTATAACAATGTCACCTTAGTATACAATTTCCATGTTCCATTCTCATCTGCATAGTTTGGAACTTGAATTGAGCACCAGAAGCCAAAAATTCTCAGGATGCAATTTAATTTGTGAGACTTTATCAGTCCATGCATTGATCATAAATTATTTTATTCTTTATGTCTTACCAAATCATGCCGAATACCTTTCATCAGAGGTTCTATATGTCCCCAAGTAGGCATGGAAACTTGAGGTGGGATTGTGTGTGTGTGTGTGTTCTACACTATGATGGTTGAAAGAATGATGATTACGTTTGTTATTGTTACAATCATTTTAATTATAAACTCAAAGAATTGTCCCTTGTATGCCAGTGAAATGCTAAACTAAAAAGTAGTGATCATAATCAGGGCAATTCGCATAACTTGTTCTATGCTGGTCTTCTGTTTTAAGTCATGTAATAAAATCTGCTTATATGTCAATTGCTTCCCCCACCCCATATATCATGTAATAAAATCCCCCGTATGTCAATAATTTTCCCAGTATGAAATGA